GTGCTATATTTTGCTTCATACAAACTAAAAACTTTTTCTAATATTTTCTTAGCGTCAGTAATACTTAGTTGCATATCTATTTTTAAATTCTCTACGGTAGCAGTCATCAATGATTCAGTTCCATCTACTCCGCACCTAGGATCTAAAATGGTTGTCAAAGCATATAACATAGGACAACCTGACCAATAACTTTTAAATTTATTTTCCATTAAGTTAACTATATTTCTAAAAAATTCTGTATCCTTATAATAAGAAAATATTTCTAAAATATTAAATAGTTGATGTAAAGCTAAATGTGTAGTAGGATAATAAACTCCAGAAAGTAATTCAGTAGCATTGTAAAAAACTTCTAAAAATTTTAAAAAATACTCAGCAATCTGCCAATCAGGATTGAAAATTAAAATTTGATCGTTCTTACTGTTTACGTATGTCGTGATAAGCTGTGAATATGGGAGTGTTGCCTTCAACATTAAATATGTTAAATTCCACCTATGTCTCACGTCAGTTGGAAAATTTCTTGGGCGCATCTGGCTATTCCTGCAATATTATTTGAATTCTTGGAGCCGAGCTCCAGAACTAGATATGAAGGATAATGATTCTCTAATATTTGTAAGATTAGCTGAGATATGTTCAATTCCTACCTGAACTACTAAATTAATTATGTGACATGCACACTGTTGATGAAAAATTTCCCTTCCAAATGCCGGTTTCAAACTACGTTTAAACAGGTTAATTGCAGCTGTATTAGCTGACGCATTATCAAAATTAATTGTTAAAACTTTATCTTCTATCCCATAAAATCCAAAAATTTCCATTATTGTACTAAAAATAGCTGTTGCGTTATGAGGATATGGACATAAACGAAAACCAATTATTCTTTTTTGTAAAACCCAATCGTCATCAACGTAGTGCGCTGTGACACATAAATATCCAGTTTTATTACACCCCTCCCACAGATCAGAAGTGCAAGTCACAGTAGCATTAAAAGTCCTAAAATTGTCAACAAGAGATTGTCTCATTACATAAAAAACCTTCATACAATCAGAACGAGTTGTGTTTCTACTTACCCGTTTAAATTGTGGGCAAAAGGCTGTCTGGATGAATTCTTCGAAGGAGGCATCATCTGCAAAAGAAAGAGGCAATTCGGCACTAGCTAGAAATTTAGCTAGTGCCTCACGAGCACATTGTGCATTGTATGTAAAATTTTGTAACCCATGTGATGTGAGTGATAGTGTTTATTGGCGGGAGTCCACACTCCCACCTTTTTTATTAGAAAAGTGCTTTTTGCAATATTTACATACCGCACGAATTTCCATCTCACCTGTTTTTGGATTTGGTTGGGGCTCCTCGGTGAAATGCTGCCATGCCGGAGAAGTTCGCGGTCTTTTTCCTCTATTGCGTTCTCCAGCTTCCTCGTTGTATACTAAAGCATTATGTGTTGGAAAACGATCTGTCTTGCTCTTCGACCACTATAAGATGTCTAGTTTGTCATCATCGATTACAAAATTTACTTCAAAATATTTGACTAGTTCCGTAAACGCTTGTGTTGAGGATGATCCTGCCGTTTTCTCTTTCTTCTTCAAGAAACTCCACGACGATCCTTTAGGCCCCAAATTCGTAGTTGACGACGAAGTTCCTTGTTCTTTTTGACCTTTACCTCGTTAAAGGATACCATTCGATTAAGCAGATCAAGAGTAAGCAAACTTCCTCATTGCCATCTATGTACAGCTTCTGGGCTACACGCATAAGCAACACAAGCACCCCAAAATGTGTATCCTATAGGAAAGATGAATGCTTTAGCATGGAAACGTTATGAATGATAACACATATTTGAGCTGAATATATTATAATGTATTAAATTTTCTCTGTTCATGGATAGTAAAGAAAGAGAAAGAAACATAAGCACACCCTACAAACTTTAGAAATCTATCCAATAACCAATGTATAAAGAACACAAACATGGGAAAAAGAAACACTCATCATGTCAAATTTAAGATGCATTCCGTTGATGATGCCAGAGAACCTGTCTTGTCATTCAATACATCAACGAATTCTATAAGAAAGAGAAATAAAAAATAAAGGATAATGCGGTTGCACATTTACCTCCCATCGTACAAGAGCAGTTTTTTTCCCAACTAATTTCAAAATATGTCCACGACTGTTAATGGGAATCATCAAACCTTCAAGACCAGGAATGCGAAGTGGGATGCACGTTTGAACAATTTGGGACGTGGGATCCACCAAGGAATCATTAATAAACTCAAACAAGGTTGAAATGTCCACTGACTTGTCTAGAAAGCTATACCTGTTTACATGAAGAATACTTTGTATACATAAAAGGAACAAGAAAGTGTAGATATTATTTGAAGCGTAGCAAGAGACAATACCATTGTAAATCATATTAATAACAACCTTCAAAGGGAGTCTTGAACAACATCAGATAATTTATACAATAAACTATGAAAACCATTGGCACAACAACTTGGAGTCTTACACACTCCAAGTCTCCAAATAGTATTGCACACGATGGCATGAATTTGAAACCGAAGAGATAACCAAGATAAGAATATGACTTACACACACTCTGCTGGCCAAGTTCCTTCAGATAGGGATGATAAAAGGCGAATTAGTTCAACCGTCCTGAAGGGGAATTCACCCTCTAAGTTGCAAAGAAGACATCGGAGAGGACCATCAATAAAACTTTCTCTGTCCCAAAACTGAATGCAAAGCGACTCCTGAAAAATCAAAGAGCAATATTATCCAACAAGAAAACTTTGAAACATGGAACAACTTAACAAGAGTATCAACAATCACAAAATCAATAGCAATAATCAATGAATGACCCTGAATGACAATCATTATGCATCCAAACCTCTCCCTGATAAACTTTGCAAAGAATATCCAATATCAAATTAAGAGTACTGTCTTCCAGCTGCAATAAGAACAGGATGAATCAGAAAGGAATAAACAAAGAGGACCTTAAATACTTTAAAGATGGTTGATATATTTACCTGAAGACTGATCTCGTAAGATGCAATAAATGCAGAAATAAAAGTTCCCAAAACACTTCGGTAACCAGCAACAGGTTCCTTTAGGAAACAGACAGACCAAAACAAAAACATCATGGATTTGAAACTAGGAATTAGGAGAGAGATAAAAAAGAAACACAAAAGAGAAAAAGTAAAACCCAGCTTATCATACCACAAATAGCCTATGGCTGCATGGAAAAATCAAGAATAACCTACATCTGACTCATTTAATAAGTCACTCTGAAGGATTTCAAGAAAACATCTCAAAGACGCAGCTTCAAAAGCTTGACGCACATAACCAACATGATCAATTTCCTGGAGAATAAGATGAAAATTTAAATAAGAACATCATTTATAATAGTACTAACGGTTCAAAAAAAAAAAAAAAAAAAAAAACCACATACCGAAAGAACATTGTTTTCTTTTTTTCCTGGAAGCGATGAAATCAGGCAAAGAAAAACTGCCCATGTTAGAATTAGCGGGCCTGCTTCTTTGGTTTCAAAAGCATTAAAACTTGAAACTATAGCATTGTCTCTCTCTAATGAGGTCAGTCCGATTCTCACATATTCACTCTCATGATTCAAATTTTCATATCCAAAACTAAAATTCTTCGAATTCAAGAGCTCTACACCTTTGGGAGCGAAAATGCAGTACACGCAAACGAAGAAAGCAGAGAAATCGAGAACAGAGAGAGAGAGAGAGAAATGCGAACCTCCTTGGGTAAACCTAGCGCCGAGCTTGGCGTAGGAAGAGAGCTTCACGTCGAGATGGCCTTCGATCTTCTTTCCATAACCCAATCTTCACAAAATCAAAAACCAAAAGTTGAGAATTTGGGAGAATCGAGTGACGCGCACAGAGAGAGAGGATTTCTTCCCGTGAGATTTTTTTTTTTTTTGGCTGGCTCAGAGCATCTTCGACAGATCAAAAGTTGGAAATTTGGGGGAACCTAACAGCGGCATTCAATTTCGGAATCTAGCAGAGCAAATCCAAAGGAGGAAATGGACCCGGAAATTTGGGAATTTGGGAGAAAGAGGATCGAGTGAGGTTTTTTCATTCCTTGGCCGGCCAAATGCCTCTTCGACAGAGTGGGGGAAGAGGGAATTGAGGTTTTTTTTTTCCTTTCCTTGTTCGTATGGGAATTAGAGTAGCCAAATCAGACCAAAAGAAAAGGAGGGAGAATGAGCGGGCGGGAGATGTGAAATTTTAGGAAAATAATTTCCAATACCCACCCAATATAATTCTAATGTGTATGTTTATATATATTTAAATATATATAAAACAAACCGTCAAAATTTCATGAAATTTTAATATGTATATATATATATATAAGGGGTTGTTTGGTTAGAAATTCTATTCCGATTTGAATCATGATTTATAATTTGTTATAATATTTTTTCTTATAAAAAATACACATAAATAAAAAATAATTATAATTTTATTATTTTAATTTATGAACTAAACGTCTCTTAAATATATATATATATATATATTATAACTATTTTTAAACGTTATTATATAAGAAAAATAACGTTCTTCTAAAAACGTTATAATTAACGGTTATAAAAAGATTATTCTGTTGTCATGTAAGTTTTGTTATTTGTTCTTTCCGAAATTTTCATGTGTATCCTCTTACTTTCGTTTTACCGTTTTGTCCTTAATTTCTTATTCCTTCATTGTTTTGGTTTTGGGTGCTTTTGTCCTTTCCGTCCAGCTGAAGTTTCTAGTTTTGTTCTTTCTTCTCCCACATTTTCGTCAATCTTCTGTCTTTGCTTTCTTTTCTCATATCTTGGCCAGTCTTCTTTCGGTGAAGTTTTTACGCTGTGTCTTTGTGTCTTCTCTCGGTGGAGGATTTTCACTGGAATGCGTCTCTGTTTTATTTTTCCTTCATCTTTTTCCTTTCTTGATCTTCTATTTCTTCTCGGAATAATTTAAGGCTTTGTTTCTTCGTTTGTTTTTCTTTGGTTTTCTTCTTTTGTTGATATTTTCTTTTTTCTTCCGATGCTTAATGGTTTCGTTCTTTGATATTTTTTTGTTTGGTTTTTTATTTTAGGGTTTCGTTGTCCCTTTCATTTTGTTCTGAACATTTTCTGATATTTGGGTTAATCTTCTGGGTTTTGTTAAGGGTCCTGGGATGGCCGAGGGTAGAGTAGTCTTTTTACTATTGAATGTAGTCTTTCCGTTTGATCTATCGTTGCTACAGATGGGAGGGGAATTCCAGTTGTTATTTTCTATTTTTCCATTCAGTTTTCCAAGAAGCGGTTATAACCGAATGGGACTCCAAAGTTGGGAGGAAGGGCTGGCAGCCTATAAGGGCTTGTAAGAGATTCGGATGGGTTATGCAATATTTTCAATCTCGTTTCCTTTGATAATATCCTTGTCTCTTTGTATCCATCTTGCGCCTCTTTTCTTCTGTCAACATAGCTAGGAACCGGCGAGGCCGAGGACGAGGAGTCTCGGAGGCAGTGGTCGATAACAATTTGGTATCAGAGCCAAACATGGCTGACGACCAACGTTTCCAGCGCCTTGAGCAACAGGTCGCCACACTTAGCATGGGGCAAGAGAAGATGTTGAAGCAGATGATTGATTTCTTCCAGTTGATGCACGCTCGGGAGGAGGTTTCGGCATCCAATCGGAGAGAAGCTCGACCAGGATCCGTCGGGGAGAGTCTGATGGGAGGGGTCCAGGCAAAACCGGTGAGATTAGACTTTCCACGGTATGATGGACATGAAGACCCCACGATTTAGCTGTGCAGGGCGGAGTAGTACTATGAGTTTCAGGGCACCGTGTCGCCGAAGCAGGTGCGGATAGCCTCCTATCACATGGAGGGGGACACCCAGATATGGATTCAGAGGAAGAAAGCACTCAAGGAACAACTGAGCTGGGAGGAGTTCAAATCGGAATTGATGTTACGTTTTGGTTCAGCCCCTTACGAAGACGGTTTCGGAGAGCTGTGTAAACTCAAACAGTCTTCAACGGTGAGGGACTATCAGAGCCGTTTTGAGCGCCTGTTGTGCAAGGCAGGGGCATTGATGGGCAAATAGGAAACAGCCTGTTTCATCAGGGGGGCTCAGGGACCACTTGCGGGCTAACGTGCGGGCCCAGAACCCAACTACGCTCTCGTCTGCCATCTCTTTGGCCAGGATCTACAAGGGAAAACAACATGAAGGAAAGAAATGGGCCAATGACTATAAGCCTAATCTCGTGTCCAGGAACAGCCATCACCAGAATACCTGGAGTCCTGAAGGGGACAGCAAGGGGCATGCCAAGCCGGAAGTTCCAACCCGGCGATTTACCCCAGCGAAAATCCAGAAGAGGAAAGAGCAAGGGCTCTGTTTCCATTGCGATGAGCGCTACACCTTCAATCACGTGTGCAAACGACTGTTCTTGATTGAGATTGGGGAGGAGGGTCTGCGCGAGACCAGGGTCGAAGAAGAGTTGGAGGAAGAACTGGAGGAAAAGCCGGAGATTTTCTTGAACTCCTTGGTTGGAATGTCCACCCCACAGACCATGCGAGTCACCGCCAGGATTGGGAAATTTCCCATAAAGGTCCTCATCGATTTGGGGTCGACCCACAACTTCCTCAGCAGATCCATGGCAAGTAGGGTGGGACTTGACATTAAGGCCAATTCGTCGTTACAAGTCGTGGTGGCGAATGGAGAGAAATTACAGAGCCCGGGGCTGTGTCGAGAAGTAACACTCAAACTGCAAAACTCTCAGTTTCAAATTGATTTTTATTTAATTGAGCTAGAAGGGTGTGATGCGGTATTGGGGGCCCAGTGGTTGAGAACTCTAGGACCGATAGTATGGAATTTTGGTAGTATGGAAATGGGGTTTTCGGTGGATGGGAGGGACGTCCGGTTGGTTGGGTTGGGCCAAGCTGAAGCCAAACAAGTAGGTGAAAGGACGATGAACAAAACTTTGAAGAAGAGTACAGGGACCGGGATGCTGTTACAGATCCGGCTAATGGAGGAACAGGGGAAAAGTGGAACAAATGGGGAGGAGTGGGTGCCCTGGATCAAAAGGTATCCAACAATTTTGGGGGAATTGAAGGGTTTGCCCCCACAGAGGAAGCAAGACCACCAAATCCCTTTGCTTCTAGGGAGTGGACCAGTGAGCCTTAGACCTTACCGCTATCCTCATTACCAAAAACAGGAGATTGAGAGAATGGTGGAGGACATGCTCAAAAAGGAAATCATTCAGGAGAGTCGGAGCCCATATTCATCCCCTGTGTTGCTGGTGAAGAAGCATGATGGAACATGGCGGTTCTGTGTAGACTATAGGGGACTGAATAAAATCACCGTGAGGTTCAGGTTTCCTATTCCCGTGATAGAGGAGCTTCTGGACGAGCTTCATGGGGTGAAGGTATTCACAAAACTAGACCTGCGTTCCGGATACCATCAAATCCAAATGGGGGAGGCCGACGTGGAGAAGACGGCTTTTCGCACCCACCAAGGCCATTATGAATTCAGGGTCATGCCGTTCGGTTTAACCAATGCCCCTTCAATGTTCCAGAGTCTCATGAACGAAGTGTTCAAAGAGGTGTTGAGGAATTTCGCTTTGGTGTTCTTTGATGATATATTGGTGTATAGCTCGAGCAAAGAAGAACATTGGCACCACCTGGAGATTGTTCTCGGAATCCTGGAGGAAAACAAATTGGTCGTCAAGAAAGAGAAGTGTTCATTGGCAAGAAGTGAAGTTCATTACCTTGGCCACATCATATGTGTAGGGGGGTAAAGGCTGACCCAAGGAAGATCAAGGCAATGGAAACATGGCCCCAGCCCAAGAACGTGAAGGAGCTGCGGGGATTCTTGGGGCTAATTGGACATTACCGCAAGTTTATTGGGGGATATGGGCAGATAGCCAGGCCCCTAATGGAACTACTCAAGAAGGGGGCCTACAGTTAGGGAGAAGAGGCTGACGTGGCATTTGGAAGGTTGAAGAAAGCCATGACTGAAGCGCCAATGTTGGCCTTACTTGATTTCAACCAAGAGTTTGTGGTCGAGTGTGACGCGTCTAAGTTTGGAGTGGGGGCTATCCTGATGCAGACTGAGCAGCCCCTCGCCTTCTTTAGCACTACGCTCAAGGGGAAAAACATA